CTATCTATCTATCTATCTATCTATCTATCATCTATCTATCATCTATCTATCTATCTATCTATCTATCTATCTATCTATCTATCTATCTATCTATCATCTACTGAACTACCCTCCCACTTATTTACCTGCTATGCCTACCCCGACCTCTCCTTCATTCCCTAGTTCTGCTGAGTCCCAGCAGACAGAAATATGGAGGTCTTAAACATAATCAGGGAGAAGTTAGCCCTCATGAGAACTCAGCTTTAGCCCTAATTCCTGCCACTCTGAGGTGTCTTTGCTGAGAATATGAATTAAGTCATCTTAGAGAATAGATCTTCTGTGATCTTATTATAATCTTACCCTCCCTGTCTTCATGTTGGAGGGGGAGAATGTGGTACGAGCAGTCAAGCGATCTTATCCTCAAAAGGATGTGGTTTCATTATTCTGTAGCTAGAGCATGGGGGCAGAGGGGCATTACCCTCTGAGGTATAAAAAGCCCAGGCTCCTACTTCTAGCTCTGCCACCATCTCCCTCTGTGATCTGGAAGCAGACTCCTTACCGCCTCTGGATCTCAGTCTCCCCTTAGCTAAAATGAGTGAAGTTGTTGGCATTGTACACACATCATCTTGTGAAATAAGTGCAACAACACAGGGTAAATATATTATTTCCTCCTTTTCTTTTCTTGGATGAGAAAATAAAGTTCAGAGAGGTTAGGTTAGCTTATTTAAGTCCTATAAGCCTATATATGACAGAGCTAGGATCTGAACCTGGCTTTGCCTGATGCTGAAACCTGTGCTTTTTGCAATTCCCTTGACTGCGTTTTGAAAGCATAGAGTCTGGATTAATGGCTGGTCACTCTCGGATTGGGTCTACATTTTATTATATGTTAAGTTGGCCCCGTTCACCAAGAGGTTGGAGCTACTGAGAAGTGCTGAGTCTGTCTTCTCTCCATCCTTGAGCTGCCAGGCATGATACTGGTCACTGGAGTCCTCAGCTGGCTCAGACTCATCCTTAAATAATTGAATTATAATGAATTGATTTATTCTGGCTCTTTTGATAGTATTTCACTATGTAAACTGTTTGCTGAAATAAACAAGGGATTTTTGGAGCTTGGAAGGGGTTCAACATTCTGTTGCCCCTGAATTCACAGACTCCTTTTTCAGATAGTCAGCATCCTAAAAATCTAAGTTTTAATTCTACTTGACCCTGGCTCTTTCTATTTGGTGGGGAGGGGATGCTGCACAGTGTTTTAAGTGAGTACTGATTTCACAAGGTGATTCCATCCAACCAGCTAGAAATAAATTGACCCCTTAGAAGAAGAATTTTTTTCTCTTGACTGTTATTCTAGAATGTACAAGCATGTTTATGTCCATGTCCTATGAGAGTTTTGTGGGTATCCTGAGAGGTTGTCCTGGCTGGGACAATCATTCCTTTCTTTTCTTTTTGTTGAAGTATAATTAACATACAATGTTATTTTAGTTTCAGGTGTATGATATATTGAGTCAACAGTTCTGTACATCACTCAGTGCTCACCGTGATAAGTACAGTCACCATCTGTCACCATACAACATTATTACAGTGTTTAGGACCATCGTTTCTGTATTACAGATGGAAAGCCAGAGGCTGAAAGGTGAAGCTAATTGTGCAAAGTTATATAGCAAATCTGAGGGACAGAAGTCAATTCCTGATTGGAAATGGGGCTCCACTCTATTGTTTTGGAGTAAATAGGGGAAGGATGTCCTAGACCAACCAGTATCCTTTGGATGACCCTATGTTCCAATATGCCTGGGATGTTCAGATTTTCCCAGGAAATGTGCCTATTGCCTGGACATAGTTTTTAATAGCATCTCGATCACTAGTTTGGATGATGATTTTAAGCGCACCTGAAGACACTGCATAGTAGGGACCAGATTTCAAGAAGCTCAGTCTTCCAGAGGAACTGCAGCATGCAGATAGGATGGCACAGTTAAGTGTTAGGGTAGGGACCCTCATAAAATAGGAACCCACACAGGCAGGGGTATTTAGTTTTGCCCTAGAAGTATTGGGAAAAGAGCACAGACGACCTGACATTTGAGTTATTGAAGGATGGGCAGGGGGATCTCTTTCAGATGGCTGCATTCTGATTTCTCCTTGTGTTGTTCGGTGCAGAATGAGCAAGCCACGTGCATGGGTCCTGCCTCCTTGGAAGGCACCTGCCAACTCCACGCTTCCGTGGTCTGTGTCCTGGCCCCTGAGAATCACTGCAGCCAGCTGCAGCTTTAAGTTGTCCAACTCAGAAATCACTGCTGTGATTTGAATTACATGGGAGCCTGAGAACTCACTTGGCCTTTCACTTTAACCACCAAGCCCTGAGGAGCATAGGCCAGTAGACAGGAAGGGCTCCCAGAGGCCCGGCACGCGGACCCTCTTATCTGCTCGAGTCCAGAGGGGGAAAGGGATTTGCCTTAAGGAACAGAGCAGTTGAGTTACAGAGCCGGGACTGAAGCCAGCTCTTCCGATGTATCCGTTCCTTCCTCATGTGACACTGGGACTCTCTTTGGAGCTCAGTAAACCTGTTTGCCACTGTGAAGTTCTGTGGTGTCGGATAATGTGCCCAGAACTTGGAAAGTGAAAGCCTGAATTTGAAACCAGGATCTGGCATGAACACACTGTGTGACTTTGGGTGTTATTGTTTTTAAAGAGTTTATTTATTTATTTGAGAGAGAGAGAGAAAGAGTGCATACACATGAGTGGGGGGAGAGGCAGAGGGAGAGGGAGAAGCAGACTCCCCGCAGAGCAGGGAGCCCGATGCGGGGCTCAATCCCCAGGACTCCGGGATCATGACCTGAGCTGAAGGCCGATGCTTAACTGACTGAGCCGCCCAGGTGCCCCAACTTTGGGCACGTTATTGAAGACACATGGGATCTCGGTGTCCTAATCTGGAGGACTGAAATAATTAAAATAATAATGCCTTCCTCACAAGGTGGCTGTGGGGCTCACTTGGGGTATAATGAAGTGTTGGTGAATCTGTGTGTGTCCAAACATATATAGCACAGGATCTACGCTCTAAATTTTCAAGTATGCATACACTTAATACAACCGTAAGCACAAAGTTAGCTATAAGTGCGATGTTTTACATCCTCTTGTATAACTGCAACTGTATACCCACTGAACAGTAACTCTCAACCATTTCCCCCTCCCCCCCAGCCCCTGGTAACCACCATTCTAGTCTCTCCTCCTATGAGTTTCACTCCTTTATATTCCTCATTCCAGTGGAATCATCCACTAGTGGACCTTCTGTGTCTGGCTTATTTCACTTAGTATCGTGTCCTGCAGGTTCATCATGTTGTCACAAATGGCTGGATCTCCTTTTTTAAGGGTGAATAATAATCCCTCGTGACTACTGATGATGGGCATTACAGTGCTGATGATTCTGCTCGTCTGATCCCACCACTGTGGATTTCAGCTGAGACCACAGAACAAATATCTATCTGTTCTCTCCCTTCTCTGTCCATCTCCTGCAGATGAACCCAGCCGGTGCTATTTCCATGATGGTGATGGCGTATGTGAGGAGTTTGAACAAAAAACTAGCATCAAGGACTGTGGGGTCTACACGCCCCAGGGGTTCCTGGATCAGTGGGCATCCAATGCTTCAGTATCGCATCAGGACCAGCAGTGCCCAGGCTGGGTCATCATTGGCCAGCCAGCAGCCTCCCAGGTAAGCTCCCAGCCACGTGTGACATTTCCTACAGACATTCTGCATCTCTGCTCGGCCCCTCCGGGCTGCCCTCCTCAAATGTAATGTCACTGGTCGTGGCCCCCTGACCATATCTCTAACCAAATGTAATCCTACGACCTCACAAGTACCATTTGTCAGGGATGAGACAATGGGATGGTTAAGTGCAGGGGACATCAGCATAGTAGGGTAAAGCCTGTCCTCCTGTTTCTCTACCTGTTATAATTCATATTTGGTGAAGGAATTCCATTTTGGATATGCCGCTGGAATTCAATGGGTTAAGACTAAATTCTTTTTGGGGAGTCCTGCTTTATTTGTTTGGAGGGGGGTGCCCAGTTGTGTGCTCTTTGAGCACTCACCTGTGAATTAACTCTATCATGAATTTGCTGTGTGACCTTGGACTAGTCTCCCCACTTCTCTGGGCCCCATTTCCCCCCATCTTTAAATTAGAGGGTAGTTGAGCTTGATGATCTCCAAGGACCTCCCCACTCTAAAAAGCTGTGACTCACTCCTCAGTCCCCTAATGCACTATTTATGTTCCAGGATTCTTGCCCCAGGGGACTGCCAGTTTAGTTGAGGGAACAAGAGATTGGGGCCACCAGCGCTTGTGTGATTCTAGGGATGGCCGTGCTGTCCCCAGAGCCCCCTTTCCAATTATCCTGCTGAGCAAGCACCTGCCTTCTTCCGAGACTCCCATTTCCCAGAGACACGACTCAGTGCTTCCAACTGCCTGGCCTGGTGGCCATCTTCAGAGGCCAGCCTGCTCCTGGCCTTGCAGATGAGTCATTATTCGCAGCCATTCCTCTCTCATATTGCTTCCCTGACTCGGGGTGGGGGGTTCAGCCTGATGTCTAGATGAAAGAGAGATGTGACCTTCCTCTGGGGCCCAGTGAAAATCCCTGGATGAGGTACAAGATAGGTCCACTTCATTTATAAGTCGCAGTGTTTATTTGGCCATTTTTTCATTTGTCTGTTTGCTTGTGTTTACATGCATTAGATTATTTATGCGTTTGCATTTGTTTCTGACTGCCCGAAGTCGGGTGGAAGGGAGTCTTGTATAGTGCCAGCCTGGTGAATGAATGAATCAAGGAATGAATGAATGAGTGAGTAAGTGGATGTCTAGGGTTCATCCTCCCCGTGCCACCTGTGTACTTGCTGAATTTTTCTCTGGTTGCACCTGTCACCTTGAACCTGAATTACCCAGGTGCATGTCTTGCTCTCCCTAGGCTGCTCATTCTTGGAGAACAGCTTTGAGCTACATTCACTTTTGCCCTCTCATCTTCAAGCACAGGCCAAGACAAGACTAGGTGCTCCGGAAACATGTGTTTAATTGACTGTAGATACTTCACGTGCACACACGCACTTGTGCACGCACACATGCACACACACACACTGCTGCATGCAAATGAGCACCGCCAAGAGAAGATACTGGGGCATTACCTCTCTGTGGCATAGAAGGTCCTGCTCGGGAACAGCAGGGCTGGCCGGCAATAGAGCCAGGAATTCCCAATTCAACACTGGCAACGGGTTCTAGAAATGTTTAAAAAACATCATTCAAACAAGGGAATTAACACACTCAGAATCTCATATGAGCAAGAGCTGAGGCAGCAGCTGTGTTTCAAAACCACCCAAAGTGTTATGGCTGCTAAAGTAAGAAAAAAGAGAGAAGGAATTGTCCAGCCTTAGCATTTGAAAGGAGAATTCACGGGGCAATTATCCCAGCCTTTTAAGGAGGGGCTGTCAGGAATTATGGGTGATTATCTCTTCCTAAACAAAAATCCAATTTCAAAAAATCATTATAAATACTAGCTCTTCGATCTACAAAGAAGAGATGAGGAAACAAAATCATCCTATTGAATTATTCATTGTAACCAATTTTATTTTAATGAAATCGACTAGTTTCCATTACTCTGGGCTTGGACATAATCTTTGTTACAAGGAGACTTCAGCTGTAACTAAATTTGCCATAATGAGATCAGCTCACTGGAGAATACAGGGTCAGGGGAGGGGATGTGTTGCTGGCTGGGTGCAGGGCCAGGCAGGCAGCCTGGAGGGCGGCAGAACAAAAGTCTCCTGAATTCCCCCACTGAAAGCAAATGCCTAGAAGTCACTCACGCACTGCCCCCACCATGCACACGCACGCCCGTCCATGCGCACACAGACACGGAGCCTGCGTGATTCTAGGCAAGGTGTTCCCTGGAGGGTAAGGGTGGCTCCCTTCTGACAACAGAGAAGAGGAGGGGGACTATAACCATGGCCTTCATTGTTACCGTGTGCGCTGATCAGAGGAGGCTGCTGGTTAATTTTCACCCAGTCAGGGCTTCCAGTGAAGAGGTTGATGGCTTGAGAGAAGGAGCTGGGAGGTTCTTAGATGCACCACGTGCCCCTCGCCTTCCCCCCATGCAATTAACTTTTTCCTTTTTCTTCTTCCTCTCTTTCTTTTTCCGTCTCTCTTCCACACATGCATGCACGTGCATGGGCACACACGAAATTCCCATGCAGGAGCCTGGGTCCTGGGGAGAGTGGGGTGGGGAGGGTCATGGAGGTGCACCAGCCACTGCCTTGGACCCTCCCGCACTCTGCAGCCCATCCTGCTGAGTGGCTTCCCCAGAGCCACACAGCCCAGAAGTGAAGAATCTAAGATTAGGATCTTGCAGAAGCTGCCAGTGAGATTGGGAATATGCGGCCACCTCCAAAAGTCAGAAGTCAGTGGACACCTGGAAAACTGCACTGGGAAATAGGAAGAAACATGGCTGGGCAGATCCTATCTTTGGTGTCACTGTGCAAAATGCCCTGAGGTGCTTGGATTCTCCTCTAGCAGACTCCCGGGTGCTGCCTACACCTCTGAGTTCAGGCTGTTCTCAATCCCTTCAAGGTGGGCTGTTGTGAGGTCCCCCGGTGGTCGTTCACTGGGACACTCCATTAACTTGGGAGAGGGATGAAGTGACCACGGTTGTTCTTCGTTCCTCTTTACAAGGCAGCTTTGTCCACGCTCTGTCTCCCCCCCTATACTATAAACATGGTAAAGGCAGGTGTTTGAAGGATAGGTGCCTACCTCTGCACTGGAGCCTTTGGGAGAGACCAGGGAGAGGAAGAACCAACCCCTGGGCTTGTGAGGTGTGAGGATTCTATCAAGAGGAGCAGCCCCGTCAGAAGAAGTTGGCACATTCTCGCTGGGATGGCCACCGAGCTGCACTCATCATGCTTCATGAGTCTAGAGAATTTCTGAAAGCTTGAGTTTCAATTTTGTGAAAGCCCTTTGTTCTAATAATTTCCAGTCTTTCACGTGTCCATTCTCCTCCAACAAGGTCCCCAAATTTGGTTAGGGCTACACCATTCCACCCCAAGCCTTGAGTCTCCTATCCAGACGTTATCGGAGCCATCAGAACCTCCGGGTGTGCAAATTGGGCTGACCACCCTCTCATAAAAGACATTCTTTGGACATTTTGGCCATGCACCTTCCCAGCCCGGCTGGAATTCAAGAAGTCCCTGAGACAGAACAAAAATGGAAATGAACCAAAGGAATCAAGTTATCTCTCTTCAGGGAACCTCAGAAATGGTTTGGGTTAAGTGCTTGCAAAAATTTCATCTTGTCCTCATTTTGTCTCCATGTTTTGCATTTCTCTAGTGCTTTACACCATAGGCTGCCAAAATGAGATGTAGATATTCCTTCATCCTGCCCCCACCCCCAGTGTTTCTACCACAGTCCATTTCCTCCTATCTAGACAGGCACCTCCCTCCTTCTGCAGTGGCCTAAGAAGGAAATGGAAATACTGACGACCTGGAATGCGCAGGGCTCTCCAGGGATTACAGACCTTCAGTCAACCAACCAATTTATTTGGTTAATCCTTTGAGGGTAAAGCTTAGACTAAGCATTTCCAGGGCAGTGGTTTCAGGGCCAAAATAAAGAAAACCTTTCTAAGAACGAGAAGCATCCATAGGGGGACGGAGTGCCTTGTGATCTACTAAGCTCGCCATGGTAAAGCATTCAGGCTGAGCTGGTGGTTGAACGGGAGATCCCTGCCTTAGAAGGCAAGTGAGAGTCTAGACACCTCTCCTTCCTTTGTAATCGATTCTCTGATGTTCTATACCATCCACCCATTTATTGGGCATATCGGTCCTTTGCCACTTTACCTTGGGTTGCTATGACCAGCTTCTAGGCATGTCCATAATACTTAGGGCCTCCATTAAAATAACAAATCATAATTTGTCTTGAATTATGTATTAATTCATTTATTCATTGGTTATATATATATACATATATATATTCATTGGCTATAGCAGAAATCTATTTGAATCTTAAGCTGCGGAACAAGAGTAGGTAAAGAGGGTGGAGGGGGGGGGTTTAATGGAAGTCACATGACTGGCTTTGCCCCTCCTCTGATTTGGGAACCTTGAGCAGATGACTCCTCTGGGAACTTTAGTTTCCTCTTTTGGAAAGTGGGAATGACAGCATCTACCTGGTGGACGTTGAGAGAATAAATGTAGAGAAGACAACTAGCCCTGGTTTTTTTCCCCACTTACTGGGTAGTTCAAATGTTAATTCTCTGTCTGGGTCATGTTAGGCATCTCGCCCACACCCTCACCCAGAGGCCACAGGGACCCACACTTCTGTAGACATTCCGTTGAGTCAGACATAGTTGTGTTAGCGCCTGTCTCCCGCAACCTCAGGACTACACCAGGCATTTTAAGAAACTCCAAAGAAGCGCTGGTCCTTTTGCTGCCCTCAGAGGGCTCACCATTTCATCCGGAGGGGTGTGTCCTACTAGAGATAGCTGCCAAAGACCCAAGAGTGAGATCCGGAGGGAGTTCCCCTGAGGAAGAAACCACAGTGCTATCAGCTTACTCAGCCAGCAGGGATGAGAGCCAGCACGTGGGTAAGGAAAAGTCCTTCGCCCACTTTCCGAAGGCCTTGCACAAATTATAAAAATAACATTTATCAAGTTCATCCAGCTTCTGCCTCAAATTCCTTGAATCCTACTGAAATTGCTACAGAAGTAGGAATCACTGCTCTCACTTCCCAGATTAGGACAGTGGAGCTCAGAGGGTTGGGTGAGCAGCTTTGGGGCTCAACCCTGTAAGGGGCAGAACCAGGGTGCTGACCACTGTGTTCACAGGAGCTCAGGTGTGGGACGAGGCAGCTCCCGCCTGCCGAGAGCGACCCTGGAGAAGCAGCTGGGAGAACCGGTGTCTTTTGCATCTTTTCATACGTAGTGCACGTTCAAGGAACACCAAGAAAATGGAATTTGCCACACCACTACCTCAAATATTGCCCCCATTGTTTCTAGCATATGGTGTAGACTCCGCCCCGCCGTTTCTGCCATGCGGTGTAGACTCCACCTATAGGCATTCATCCTCTTAGGTGAAGCATTGCCCTCTCCAGAAAGTCATTTAAAATGTGTTTATGAAACGATGGGAGGACTATAGGACATGTCTTAAGTTGCCGACCCCAAAGGGTAAAAAAGATTTCTCAGATCTATGCCTAATTACTTCTGGGTTATGGG